TAACAGGTGACAGAACCTCCCTAGTGATGCAGGGGTAAAAGTCTCCACACCATGAAGCTATCTAGCTATTGCTGCACTCATTTCATCCTCAGCAGGGAGCTGATGCTCGTGGTGCAGCAGACCTCTCCTTTCTTGCCTGCTGCTCCCTCAGCAGTATATTTCAGTAGATCTGCCTGTTCTGCTCCCCACTCTGTTTCTGGAGAATCCTCTCACTCCCTACACTTCTAGGATTCTTCTATGCGTGAATAAATAAATCTTTTAAAAAATAAATAAAAACTGGGCAAAGGACTTGAAAGACATTTCTGTACAGATGATATATAAATGACAAATACATGTATGAAAAGATGCAAAATGTCATTAAAATTATGGAAATGGGCCCTCCCTGGTGGCGCAGCGGGTTAAAGCACAGCACTGAGAATCTAAAGCCGCTTCCGCATGAGTTCGATTCCTGCCTGCCCCGGAGGTGACCACATGGCGTGGCAGACCTCTCCTGACCCGCCCGCTGCTCCCCTCAGCAGTGTACTTCATCGATCTGCCTGTTCTGTTCCCCGCTCTGTCTCTGGTGAAGCCTCTCACCACCCCTGAGCCTCTGGCCTGTACCCCAGTTCTGTATGCACAAATAAATAAATCTTTAAAAAAAAAAAAATTATGGAAATGCAAATCAGAACCACAAGAGGATATCAGCTCACCCCCGTTAGGGTGCTAACTATCCACTAAGCAGAAAATTACAAATGTCAAAGATGTGGAGAAATTAGAATCCTGTGCATTGTTGGTGGGAATATAAAATGGCATAGTCATATGGAAAACAGCATGACAACTACTCAACAAATTAAAAATGACCATATGATCTAGTAATTGCACACACACACACACACACACATAAAAATAATGGAAAGCAGGTTCTCAAAGAACCATTTGTACCACAATGTTTATAGTAACATTATTTATTATAATCAGGAGGTAGGAATAACCCAATATACTAATGAGTGAATGGATAAACAAAATGTGGTATACACATACAATGGAATATACCCAGCCTTTAAAAGGAAGGAAATTCTGATGAGGCTAAACCTTGAGGAAATCATGCTAAGTGAAATAAATGAATCTTTATTCTAATCTATTTATATGTAGTATGGTATGATTCTATTTATATGAGGTAACTAAGAATAGCCAAATTCATATAAAAATAAAGTAGAATGGTGGGTGCTGAGGGGAGGGAGGCTGACTGGGAATGGAGAATTATTGTTAAATGAATATATGAGTTTCAATTTTGCAAGATGAAAAATTTTTGGAGATTGGTTGAACAACAATGAATACACTGATATTTAACACTACTGAACTGTACACTTGCAACTGGTTAAGATGGTAATTTTTAGGTTATGTGGGGGTTTTCCCCTACAGTTAAAAAAGTCAGAGAGCTGGGGGCCCTCCCTGGTGATGCAATGGGTTAAAGCGCAGCACCACAAGAAACTAGTGGCTGCTTAGGAGCTAGTTTGATTCCCTGGCCAGGGAGTGACCCACATGGCATGTCAGACCTCTCCTGATCCGCCGCCCTCTGGTGCCCTCAGCAATGTATTCCAGTAGATCTCTCTGTTCTGCCCCCGCCCCGTATCTGGTGAATCCTCTCACTGCCCCTGCACCTTTGGCCTGTATGCATAAATAAATAAAAAAAAAAAAAAGCAAGTAGTTACAATCTATAGAAAATATCAACCCCCCTTTAAGTTAGTATATAAATTCATCATTCTATTTACATATATTGCAAATCTGACAGAATAGGAGATACAATGTCAGGGTTTAGTTTCCTCTTTCATATATAAAGTCCATCTTCCTGTAGAGATACCAAGAAATAGCTTAGATCACCTCTCAGAACACCTCACTGCACCAAATCTGAGCCTACCTAGGCCCACAATACACATTCTGAGGAAGACATTAAAGGGTTTACAGTGTTTGTATTATATTGAATTGATGTGCACATATTTCAAGCTTCACTCATTTGCTGTCTCAACTCCTCTTCATATTAACTTTATGAGATAAAAGAATGAAGATAATATTTTCCCTTTTATAAATATGAAACTAGAAACACCTAAATTTCAAGCAGTATGTATCCATCCTTTACTTGAGACTATTATTTTACCAAAGTTTTCTGGTACTTTGATGGCAAAAAGCCACAATAGATCCCAGAACTCCTCCTAAAAGTTCAAATATTTGTTTTAGTTGCAAGTATTTATTTTCAATGGAAAGCATCTCTAAAACAAGCATTGATTTTAATAACTGAAGCAAAACAACCATTTGCTTTGAAATGTTTTCTATTAAAAAAATATGTGGGGAATATTAGGGCAAAGTTCCAATATACATAAACAAAGGACAATTTGAATTAGCCTGACTAGCAGGAAGTGGCATAAATTGTTTCCAAGTTGTAGTCTGTTGTTTAGATTAACGGTTTTCCTGGCTTAGATGTTAACTAGTTGTCCACACTTGAAGAGACAAGGGTAGTAAGTAAGCTTTACACATGCCATCTCAAGCAAAAACCAACCAACCAACCAAAAAATAACAACTACATATATCTAGTGGATTTACTAGACAGATTTAGTTAGGGAGTGATAAGCACTTCTAATTTATATATATATGTTATAATAGAATGGTTTGTTTTTACATCATTTTATACATTTTTTTCATCTCAATTGTAATCCCCATGGGTTTCCCATCACCAAGATTTATTTATTTATGCATACAAGAGCTGGGGAGCAGGCCAGAAGCGCTGGGCGAAGGGGTTGAGAGGACTCACCAGAGATACTGGGGAACAGAACAGGCAGATTGACTGAAATACACTGCTGAAGGGAGCAGAGGACAAGACAGAAGAGGTCTGCTGTACCATGTGGGTCACCTCGCTGGCTGGGGATGGACCCCATGCTGCAGTGGTTGTGGATTGTTAAAGGACAATCCAACGTGAACTGAGTTGCTTGTCTGTGGCTTCTCACCTGTGCACTTAAGATTCAACTGCAGACATACACAAAAGGTCAATAATGAGTTTCTTTACAAGGTAAAAAAGGGAAAAGATCAACTCAGGGAGAGAGATACAAGTTAACTAACGTGTCCTACCAGTTCCACTAACCTGGAACCCCAATAGCAAGCTGAAAGCTGATCAAGAGCCAAGCAACCAGCCACCAGCCACAAGGCCAAGAGAGAGACTGAGACCCTCAGCCCAACATGTCCAGTCTTATATCCCAAAACCCAAAATGGCTACTTAACTCTGCCCTTAGGGTCTATCAGTCCTCCCTTTGATGTTGCTGGGATTTGTAGTTTAGTGTCTGGAGTGGGGGTGGAGTTCACAAAACTTGTATCTGCAGAGTTCGTTCAGGACATCTTTTTCTCCCTAACAGATAGCTTCATAATATTGTGACTTAATCTCTTGCACCACCAGGGAGGGCCCAATAAGCACATTTTAAAGGAATTTCAATGAGTTCCCCCTATAGTGAAAACCCCGAAGGTGTATTCAACCATGATTCCATTTCAGATCTTTGATTTCAATCCAACCTACAAGTAAACATCTAAGTTTAATAAAACAAGGTAGAAAATGAGTTCACTTCAGATCAAATTGTAATGGGTCCTCTGAAGAGATAGCAATACCCTATGTAGAAAGCGGAATTACAATCTATTAGTGGAACTAAAACAAACATATAACTATGCGAATGTCTCAGAAACATTTAGGCATAATGCATTTAATATATGCCAAACAACTCCTTCAGGCAGAAGAAATAAAGAAGTAACTTCAAAGGATTTTATAATCTGTAACAGTGGTAGATAAAATGATCAATTCTTTATATACCAAACAATGGGGGAAATGATACCAATTCAGACAAGCTAACCACCACTGCACCTGCTACCTCTTTTAGTTGTGGTGTCTCTAGTTTTGTTTAATCTTTCACAAATCCTTAGTCTTTGTCTTTCTGATATTAATATCTTTGAAGAACATGGAGGAAGTTATCTAGATTTTTCTGCCACAAATACAGATCTTTTTGTGTATGTGTGGGCTGTTTTATTTATGTATTTATTTTGCTGTATACTGTATTATGTTGTCTTTCAGTATATCACATCAAGAGACACATGATGTCCATATCTACCATAACATATGTTAACTTTGATCATTTGCTTACAGTGGTGTCCACCAGTTCTCTATTGTAAACTAAGGCCTTCCAGTGAGACTATATATACATTGTTTATATCAACCTCAACTTGCTGCTTTTAGCATGTTTTCATGATCTTGCCTAAATCAATTTCATAATCAAGATATAATGTATGTATTATAAAATTCACTAAAGTGTACATTCCCAAAGTTATGCAGCCATCACCATTATCTAATTCCAAAACATTTCCTCCACCCCCAAAGAAATTCTGCCTCCATTAACAGTTGTTCCTCTTTCCTCCACTCACTCCAATCTCTGGAAACCCACTAATCTACTTTCTGTCCCTATGGATTGAGCTATTTCAGTAACTTCATGAAAATGGAATCTGACATCTTTCATTTAACAATATATTTTCAAGGTTGTTCCATATGGTAGTTTTAATCAATACTTCATTCCTTTTTATCTGCTTAAATCAATTATTACTATGATTCTTGAAAATGATAACATTCTAACTATATTGCTCTAATGACATTTATTAGGCAACATTATGTTGATCATCCTTTACCAGGAAGCTTTTTAAGAAAATCGCACAGTTGCAGTTAATTTTAATTTTAATAGACAGGGTTTACTTTCTCACTAGTTTCAAATCTTATTTTCTTTTTTAAAAAGGGCCTACAACGATCACCTTCCCAGAAGTTTACTGATCTTCCTCAGTTCTACTTGAACAAACAGCGATTTGAGTCTTTCTCCGCCAGTCACTCCACAGGCTCCTCCTTCTTCTCCAGGTGTCCCCTCCCCGGTGAAGCAGGAGGAGGAAATGACGCACCGGAAGTGCCCCTGTTCCCCTTGCAGTGAGTTGGGGGGGTGTAAAAGGAATCAAACCCCCAAGATGGCGGCAGCGTCGGAGGAGCGGATGGCTGAGGAAGGAGGCGGCGGCCACGGCGACAGCGGCTCCTCTTCGGCCATCGGCTCTACCCAACGACTGCCCCCACCGCCCCCGCCCCAGGCCCCGCAGCCGGGGTCCCAGGCGCCCCCAGGCTCGGCGCTGGCTCCGGACCAGCTGCCTCAAAACAACACGCTGGTGGCGCTGCCCATCGTAGCCATCGAGAACATCCTCAGCTTTATGTCCTACGACGAAATTAGCCAGCTACGTCTGGTGAGGCCCCCGCGTTATCTTCTCCGCCTTCCCCTCTGGGCAGAGGTCTGGGGAGGGAGGGAGCCCCGCGAGCCACAATCGGCGCCAGAGCCTTGAGCGCGCCCCTCCCGCCCCAAAGTCTCTGTGGGCGCCGGTCGGCAGGGCTCGTCCCCACCCGCCCTTGCTTCAGCTCTGGGGGCGACTGCTTGAGGAAAACTTCCCTTGGAGGCCTTTTTGCCCCCCGCCCGGAAATGGGGACGCGGCGGGGGAGGTCGCGGGAGTTGGGCTTTCCTCCTCCGCCCGGCCTGAGCTGGAACGCCGGCGGGTCTGTCGCTCGCCTTTTGTATACACCTTCCAGCTGCTGGCCAAGGTTGCAGTAGCAAACTCCCAAGTGGGCGAATTGATCCCAGCCACGCTTGGTCTGTCTGCAAGAAGGACGCATTGTTCCCCCCGATCACCCAAGTTTCCTGGTCAGAGAAGATGAAGTAGGGTCGGTCAGTCCTTACCGACGCGCAGAGGTTCTAAGGAATTCAAACGCGTTCTCAGAGCCTCAAGCCCAGTGTCCTAGTTGACCAATGAAGTAGAGCCCTGAGAAATTACCATTCTGGCTTTGCCTTCACCCCTGATACTTCGCACCCAAAGTGAAGCAACTTGCTCCGTGATAGGTTTTGTTTTCTCTCTTTCAATTAATTTTCCAACTAGTGATTTACTCCCACCCACCAGCTTTGGGAGAGGCTTGATACCTTAAAATCATAGTTCAGACATGATTTATAAAAATTGTGAATTTGCCATTGGCATTTTACTTCATCCCTCCAGAGGTTTTAACAGAAGGTTGGAGGAATATCTTAGTTGAATCAGATATTTTGCTTCCTTTCATTGAGTTTATCTTTTCAGTGGCGAGGAAATTGAAGGGGGTGGACATTTTGATGTGCTTGCAAACCGATTCTGTGCAGAAACCAAGTCTGGTGGGGATTGTTTTAAAGAGGACAAAGACATTTCTGAATTTGCAGTGTGCTGACTTTTCTTATTAAAAAATAGGCCGTATTTTAGACTTGCACCTTTAGTTTAGAAATTATTATAGTTGCATTTTTGTAAAGAAGTCCTGTTTTTGAAAAGGAAGGTTATAAGTATTAATTCAAACTGATGGTTAGGGGTTTTTTTCCCCCCTAGTCGAACATGCCAACTTGCAGAATGGAAAGTTCTTCAGTTGAAACGTGATATTTCATTTTGATTGTCCCTGAGTTTGCAAAAGATATCATCCTAGAATTCCACCTAGAGTCTTAAATATGTCTGCAAATTGTTATAAAGGATCATGGTTGATCCTGTACATTCAAGTTTTCTGGAAATTGGGCATAACATTTGATTGAATTGAAACTTTGAGCTAGACAATAGCTTTGTAGAGCTTGGAATAGTCACAGTACTGTTTAAGTGTTGAAGAAAACTGTGGGGTTTTTGTTCATTTGTTAGTTGATTTCTTTTGTAAGAATTAAAAACATTTAAAGGGGAGGGTAGGGAGCAGTTAAAATACATCCCACAATTTATTAATAAGTGATATCTCTTTCAAGTGAAATAATTCAGCTGCATTCTTAATTTTGAAGCAGGTATCTATTCTAGGCTTTTAAGGAAACAAATTTGTGGTTTCTAACAAATTTTTTTCATAAGGAGTGCCTTATCACCCCTCCCCCCAAAAGATTCTGCAGCCAGTTTTATGTCCCAAAGATGTTTTCTCTCCTTTAGTAGTAGGAACTATTTTCTTTTTTAAAAGATTTATTTATTCATGCATACAGAACTGGGGTGCAGGCCAGAGGTGCAGGGTCAGTGAGAGGATTCACCAGAAACAGTATGGGGAGCAGAACTGGCAGGTTAACCCAAGTACACTGCTGAGGCGGAGCAGCAGGGGTGAGACAGGAGAGGTCTGCAGTGCCATGTGGGTCAGCTCTTTGGCTTGGGATCAAACTTGTGCTGAAGTGGTTGTCGCTAGCCACTTAGTGCTGTGCTCCCACCAGGGAAGTCCCTCGAACTAGTTTCTTATTCCTTTTTTTTTTCCTAGATAATTCTTCAACAGGTTACATGAATAATCTTGTGTGGAAATTTGTGATTGTAAGGTACAAGGATAATGTTCTTTCTTGCCACTAGGTGTTAGCATTAATTTAATTATGATCCTTTTATGAAATTGGCAGTCTAGAGATAGTGTGGGATAGGTGTTTTACTTGCCTTTGCAAGTGTAATCATTTACATCTAAAGACTCATTTGCCCCAAAACAAGGGACTTTAAAGTATGCTTCTCTCGAGCGTGCAGGTTATGTGGTTCCTTTTACTATAAGCATATTTAAAGACGAATTAAGACTGGAATATGCTTGGAAGAAAATGATAACTAAGAGCAGAGTTAGTTTCCATAAAACTAAATGTCAAATATTCAGTGACTGATAGCTAGTTTATGAATTGTTTGTATTTGATTTTTCCCCCTTCCTAGTTTACTTATTAGAACTTCCATTGTTAGCACAACCCATGCCCTTGCTACTCTGTATTTTCTTTAAAAGATTTGTTCCACTTGAAATTGCTGAAGTAACATTTTTCTATTTTTGTATAATTTAGTTGATGATAGTCTTTGTTTCCTATTGCCATTAATAATTGAAATTTGAGTCTGCAGTCCATCTATTTACAAAGGACTGTCCAAATGCCTTACTACTTTTTTTTTACCCTGCCATTGACTTTTGCTCCAAACATGCACCCGGATCCTGGAAATCCTGGTTACACAAAAATAGTTCTTCAAATATTTAACTCCCACAATTTAAAATTTAAAATTATTTGTCTGAACACAACTTTTGAAATGACAGAACGTACTTTGAGTTGTTTTCAGTGAATCAGACAAATTTGTGCTGATGCAGCACTAGACTCTCCTAGGCTCCCTTGACAGGTATGAACATATTTTAAATCTGAGTTTCTAAGAAGTGAGGGCCTGTCCCTCTTTAGGGAGAATATCAAAACTAACTGGCTTGTGAGCACAATGTTCTCACTGAAGGCTTTTAAAAAATATTTTAGTGCAATCCTATAAAATTTTCCCTCTTTCTAGTTCCTGTCAATTTATTGGAATCTTATTAATTTTGGACATAAATTTGACAAAAGATTAAACTCAGAATTCTTATCTAGAATGAAATTTTAGATGATCCATAAGACAAATACATGAAATGAATGAATGAAATTCTAGAATGATCAATAAGACAAATACATGTTTTCATCCAAAGGTGTTTCTGTAGAGCATCCTAACAACTTAAATTGGTTACCCATTTATGGTTCTTGTTGTGTTTCTGACGCTATGATAATTTTAGTTAGAGACAGCGTTGAATGTACAGGTATAGCACTCTTCTGCTGCTTCTTTTAGTAGTGTATTCCAATAAATCTGCCTTTTCTGTTTTCAAAAAAAGAGGGAGTATGAGAAACAATTATTTTTTCTTTAAAGTATGTAAGTTGTCTTCCTCATATTGCTGGTTCTTAGTTTTTTATTTTCTGTTGGACACCCTTAACTCTCCTAAAAGGTATGGGGAACTAATAGCGCTTAGCTTAGAAAATTCTGGGAAACACAGAATACCTAGTACACATTCCATTAGCTGTCAGAACAATGTCATCATTGCTTCTGGAAAACTCCACCGTATTTTGCGAGAGAATGCAAATGAAAGTGGCACATAATATTGTAGTATTAAGCAAGTAGTTTGACTTCAAGGACCCTCAAAAGAATTTTGGATGTCCCAGAGCTATTGTGAGAACCACTGCTCAATATTGCCATATTTTTGGAGGCATATACGCTGATTTTTGTTTTTGTCCACCCTCCCCCTCTTCTGGTTATTGATTTTATACAGGTAAAAATATACAATTTTCAGCAGATTCAGCTCTCCCAGTGAAGGGGTTTGGTCAGTAACCCCGATGACCAACCCTGATGATAATTGGTTTGGTGACCAACCCTGATGATAATTTCCTCATTGAGACAGAAAGTACGTGTGTATCTTCTGTGAGTGCCTGGATAACAAATGTAAGATAGTTCATACAAGAATGTTGAGATTTATCAGGAGGGTTTAATCAGGAGAGGCTTTCTTAAGATAGTGAGTTTTTAATCTACTTTTTCTGTAAAGTAGGAAAAAATATGTATAATGTAATGAAGTAATTGGAGAAATGTGACTTATTAGAGAGAATAAGATGAGATTGAATTCGGAAGTTTGGCATTTTAGATGTCCTAGATTAGTGTCAGATTCCACTACTTCCCACCATTTTTATTTAAGGCCAGTCAAATTTGAGAATAAAAAAAGAAAACTTCATTCCTTATCATCATCAATATTTCCTGAAAGAAACCAGATAAACCTATGTACCCTGGTAAATTGAGTAGTATACATTCTTAGAGTATTGAAGGTGAGCTGTGCATAGAAATTCAGTTTTATGATTTGTGAGACTAGCAGCAAAAGATAACTTCTGATAGAGGTTTCTACCAGCCATGTCCTTATGTCTTTCTAACATCTTGCACTTAAGGTTGATTGAGATAAACAAACACATGGGTTTTTGCCTGCAACCTCTTCTTTGTTTCCCTACCTTAGCAGAGATCTGTACCTAAGTTCACCTTGCATCCATTATTGCACTTAATGTATTATTTTGAGATATCTTTGGATGTGCCTGATAAATGTAAGCTCCATGAGGGTGACTTTTCCTTTCAACATGAATCTTTATGGCCTTAGTCTGTGATACAATAATTAAAACTTAGTAAGTAATAGAAAATATATGCCACTGTGAAATAAAAGCCTTCTTTGTAGAATATATTAGTACTTGGTATGCTCCAACAAAAAGATTTGAAAAGCTTTTGTTTTAAAGATTTTAGTTCACCCATAATGTCCTAAATATCTTCAAGACTATTTTAAGAAGCCGAGTGACTAAAATAAAGAACTCTTATGAGAATCAGAATTGGTTATTCAGAAACAATGGTTAAAAGGCTTTCCATGTTATTTTCAGGATTCACTGTAGAAATCTTGGGGACAAATT